CATCACAAAGAAGTGTATATAGTCATGATTAGTATGAGAGACATAGGTGAGTATCTCACTAAACTCAAACCGTTGTATGATTGGTATATTGAAGATTGATGATATTTAGCAAAAAATAAAAAAAGAGATTGATGATCTCGTATAAAGTACAAAGGTGGAATAATGGAAATGTATGTCCTTAAATCTCATGTAATGTTTTGTTATCGAACATCTATGTTTGTTCGTTAACTTTTACCAATCTAAGTCCGATTTCGTTTCTTTCTTTGACACCAAGCCAAGACTTATGAAATTTGAATGCAAAACCCAAGAGATCTTTATTCTTTTCAGGTCTCTTGACTAGGTAACGCGTATGTTCCTATACACTGGTTTTGATTAAGTAAAAAATAATTGTGAAAAGCAAGAAGAAGAACCTTATAATTATAATGCATGTGATTGGTCGTTTTAGTGTTGTGCTTCTTTTGAAATACCTTGTTCTTTTTTTCGACATGAGAGGGTTTTGGGGATTTGAGATGAGAGGTACTGTTTGTTTTTTTTAGTGATGTTTCAAAGGAAAAGATTGTGTTGTCATTGTTCTTCTTTGAGTTCTGTGTCATTCTTTATTTACTCTTTTGTGTGCTTTTCTTGGGATCCTCAATACATTTCTTTCATATACTCTCCCGGATTTTCATAAAGAAACATTGGTTCTTGAGCTTGACTCAACTTTCTTCTACACTAAGAATATGAATTAACCACTTCGTAACTAATTACATAGTTTGAAAAATGAGTTCGTTCATACATAACTTTTGATTAATTTCTTGATTAGTTTATACACTAAATCATTATGACAACATGCCAAGACGAATCTAATCGATGGTGTTGTTGACATTTATGGAAAAAATTAGGAGTTAGTTTAAGAAAATGGTAGAATCTTAATCATGTTTCCCTAACTCTTTACCCTTTTGAGGAATGATTGCTTTCTATAGGACTTACATCTAACTTCTTGCCTTGAGTGATTTGGAGTAACTAATACTCTTTTGTTTCATCTTTCACCAAGGTTCATTAATGATTTCCTCGTCAAAACTAGGATCATAGAAAGTCAAAACTAACCACTAATTATACAAATTACTATGTCTTTCAAGCTATCTACAGGTTTATCTTAGGGAATCCTAAGATTTGTCGAGTTACAAATTATATTTTACTCGAAAATGATTGAGAGGCCTATAGACTACTAGGGTTCATAAATTAGGGAGTTTAGATTAGGTGAAACCATCTTTAAATAATGGAAATCTTTTTAGGGGAAAATGATGGGCAATTAGGCTCTTCTTGACCCTATCTTAATAAAGATATATATTAAGCTTGGTGTGCAATGGAAAATTAAGTCTAGTTTCACTTCTAGTTCTATATTATTAAAAATATCATGATAGGTTTAAGTAGAAAGTATCCTAAACTCTAAATTTAATTTGTTAAATTTTCATATGATTTTTTATATAATCTATCTTTCAAGGGGATTAAATTGGAATCTCTTTTAGTGCATGCAAAAACTCAATATGATTTTATAAGAAACTGTCTTTTTCTTATAACTTCAGTCCACACATGCGTGCAAGCAGACTGCAACTCAGAATAATTTCTTCATTTTTCCAATAAATAATGAGAAAATGTCGTAAATCTGCATGGGATATAATCATTGTGGAAAAAGAAGGAAATTGATATATATAGTTTAGAAAAAAATTATGAATAATATATATTATTCTCGAAATTCTGGAAAATTTGGTGTACGTTTTCTAAGCATGTTTATGTTACTTTTACACGCTAAGCACATTTCTTATGATATGATTTGTAACCATTTTAATATCATTTCGTTTGATCTAAGACAGGAATACGAATTTATAAAATAAAATAAAATAATTATATTATGTGAAAGAATAAAATAGCAAAAGTGTACGACGAGGATGGGTCCGGTTAAAAAGAAGATGTTATGAGTGGGAAGTTTCGTGGATTCGAAGGGACGATCATTTACATTGTAATTTTTATACATTTAATTTATATATGTACTAATTTATTTGACTGAACTTTCAAATTTTCAGACAATAGTACTCTGTGTTCCTTAAATAATTTTCTTATACCACAGTTTCTAATTTTTTTGTCACTCCAATGG